GTGTGTGTGTGTGTGTGTGTGTGTGTGTGTGTGTGTGTGTGTGTGTGTGTGTGTATATATGTGTGTGTGTACATGTGTATATATATATATATATACACACTTACACATATATTTCCACTAAGAAAAAGACAATCCAGTTTTGTTTTACTGTTTTCTAAAAGGTACTTGTATAATTTAGCCCAACGTTTGTTCTGCATTTATTAACCACTGTGTGTGGCAGCTTCTGTAACAAGCCACAATGATAATCAAAATACTGGTATGTTCTTCATAATGCCACATAAGAGCAGTAGCACTTAGACTTATATACCACCTCACAGTGCTTTTACAGCCCTCTCTAAGCAGTTTACAGAGTCAGCATATTGCCCCCAACAATTTGCGTCCTTATTTTATCCACATTGGAAGGATGGAAGGCTGAGTCAATCTTGAGCCAGGGAGATTTGAACTGCCAAATTGCAGGCAGTCAGCAGAAGTAGCCTGCAGTACTGCACTCTAACCACTAAGCCACCGTGGCTCATAAGCTACCTGAGAGACCATCTGCCTCCAGTCATGTCTGTCTGTCCCATATGTTTCAGCAGATTTGGTGGGCTACAGGACTCCTCAATTTAATGTTGCCATCTTGTGGGGCCTAAGAAGTATGTATCCTCTGTTGTGGGCCCCAGCCTCTGAAAGTGGTCCAAAAAGCTTAGAAAACCTATCTTTGGATCTGTGCTTGGGGGTTCATGTCTGTTATTTGTTTATTGGGTCTTATTTTGTTTTTTGTTTTTGGATTTTGTTATAAGAACATTTTAGTCCAGGCTGCTGTTGATTTAATATTTTTAGCTGCTTTTATGTCTTTTTGACCTGTGGGTACCACCCAGCGTCCACTGGAGTTGGGCAGCTTATAAATAGAAATGGACGAGCAAATAAATAAATAAATAATGCCATCATGCAAATTTGGGGATATCTTATCAGGTACACAAGTCGTGTCATTTCGGGCTGATCTCATAACATGCATATTATCATTTCCTCACTTGCTCCTTCTAGGGATGTCTGTGAAGATGCATAAAATGAAGGTTTTGCTGAACTTACGGGCCAAATCACCGATGAAATGTTGTTCTGCTTTTAGGTGAACATGTTTGTTGAAGGTTTCCATGATGCTTTAGTTCTTTATGTTCTCGCTTTACGGGAAGTTCTGAAGAATGGCTTCACAAAGAAAGATGGGGATAAGATTGTTCATCAGACATGGAACAGGACATACGAAGGTACATCCAGTCACATATCCCATGTTTTTTTTAGATAAATAGTTTTGTTTTAGTAAAAGCTGCCACTTTTTATCCTTGTTTCTTCATAGTAGAGATTAAGATTCCTGGGTTTTGTTGATCAAGCCTTCTAGATAATTGAAATGAAAAGCCAATTGTTTCTGCTAATATTGTGAAAGAAGATTTTGTGATTGGTTGGTTGATTGATTGGTTTTGTTAGCCATTTCTGAAACATTTGTGTCATGCAAAATCTTATGCTGGCCCCATAAAGTACAGGACCAGCACAGGAGTTTAAACAATCAGTTCAGAAGCTTCAAGTACCCACCAAGTCACGGGGCTTAAAGAGAGAACAAAAGAGGTCAGACTGAAGTGGTTATCAGAGGAAAAATTCTAGATAACCTTAAGACAACAATCGGTTTCTATGGAAGGAAGTTTCTGTGAGAAGAAAACACTCTGTAGGGTTACATAGATTGAAACCAACCCTTTGAATTGGCCATGGAAACAACCAAAACCCTGAGAGAGTTAAAATGGAGCACTTTAAAGAATAAAGCATAAGGATCTCTGAAATGTTTTTCAAACTTGGCAACTTGAAAATGACTTCATGCTGGCTGGGGGAATTCTGGATGTTGAAGTTCACACATCTGCAAGTTGCCAGGTTGAAAAAGTACTGATTTAAATAATCTTTACTTCTCAACCGTCTGCCTTTTGCCCCCACTGTTCTGCCTGAAATGCTGTCTCCTGTATATAATTGTATAGTCTACCAAAAATAAAGCGACTGGATAATATTATTTAATCAGAATATGTAGAGAGCTGCATAGACAGTGCAGCTTTTAAATATGGATTGCTTAGCTCCGTTGTATCCATGTTAATAGCAGCACCAATATCAGTAGCAAGCAACAATACATCCTTAATACAGTTATTTAGCAACTCTTGATTCCCCTTTTCAAGTTTTGCCTGTTTGTCAGCTATTTTCCTGTTTGTTTATTTGCTCATCTCATTACATTAGTTCCTTTTATAATTTAGTTTTTTAATCTTAAAAGCTAAGTTTGATTTAAAAAAGGCTCAGATCAGTGGTGAAATTCATTTTTTTCCCCTTGCTGGTTCTGTGGGCGTGGCCTGGTGGGCGTGGCAGCGGAAGGATATTGCAAAATCTTCATTCCAACCCCATTGCAGAGGAAGGATACTGCAAAATCTCCATTCCCACCTCCACTCTGGGGCCAGCCAGAGGTGGCATTTGCTGGTTCTCCAAACTACTCAAGATTTCTGCTACCGGTTTCCAGAACCTGCTGAATTTCACCCCTGGCTCAGATGTGATTTACCTGTTTAGTTGTAATGTCACATTTTTTTGTATTAGATTTCAAAAACTTCATTTTGCATTTGGAAAGTAAGGCTTCCATTTTTTTTTCATTTCTAGTGTTTTGCCTGATTATTAAAACAACCCCTTTAAGTCCTACAAGCCTTATAATATATAAATGTACACAAACCTTAATACGGACATCCACATAGAGCTAAACTTTATAAAATAAGCAGGACATTCCTGGTAAGACCAGCAGCCCTTGTCAAATTCACCCGTCAATATGTACTGGGCAAAATTACCAAACTTTTCTGTGGAAGTACTTAAAAAAACGGAAATGTTTCCTTTAGATAAGAACTCAACAATGAGTTCAGAAACTGGAATGGCTTTGAAAAACATCATCAGCCATTTTCTCAGCTGCTGTTACTTTTTCTTTAGGAAGAGAGCATTAAAGGAAATGCTTTAGGAGAAGGGAAATATCAGATTGACAGTAGAATTGCAGTGAAATATCATTTCATCTGGTATGCATTTTGAAATGAACTTCCTATTCCACATTTCCTGGATGAGCAATTATGTAGACTGCTCAAAATTGGATAATGGGCTTTTTGGAACCCAAGTTATGCAAAGAAGTATGTATTTTGGGAGAAATGGTCCATGAAAAGGAATTTTCTTTTTTACATGCAAAGCAGAGCACAATGTATATACAATTAAGCACATAGAAGTTTGGCATAGACTAATCTCTCTGTCTTTTATCTGGAAGGGGAAAGAAAATATCCCTTCTAAATCTTTAATTCAACATCCCTCATTCTGGCACATTCTGGATATGCTTGGAACTACAATTCTCATAATCCCCAGCAAGGAATTAAGAGGCATTTTCATATGATGATATCTGGAAAATATCAGGTTACAAGTCAAGCCAAAAACTTGCATGTATTTTTCTCTGTAAACAAATTCAACTAATTCAGTGCCTCACATCACAAAGATTATAGCATACAGCAGATTCGTTGGTTTCACTGAAAACTGCAATAGAGGGACACCTCACTAGCATATACACTACTTTAGGAATCAGTTAGGGATACTACCAGTGGTACTAATACAACTAGTGTAGAAGATTAGGTTGTGGGAGAAACAGGGAACTGTTTAGTCAAGTGTGTCTGGATATTTGCTATCTCTTTACCTACTCCTTGACAGAGTCTATGGAAGGAAAGAAGAGAGAAAGGAATATTCCCTGTTATTTCTATAGATTTTTTAAACATTTGTCTTTAAATCAGTGTAAATTCCTGGTGACTGGCTGGATTAGTCCCTGGAATTTTCTTAGCAACATTTTTCAGAAATGTTTTGCCATTGCCTCCATCCTAGGGCTGAGAGTGTGTGCTGGTTCCATATTTAAGATGGGACTAGAACTCCTGGGTCCCTGGTTTCCAGCCGGGTTCCTTAACCATTATCCCAAATTGGCTCTCTAGTTCTACATATAGGGATCCTTAAAATTCATTTGACTTCAAGTAAGCAACAATGAGCATCCTGTGAGAAATGGGTTTTTTCTGAGCAAGATTTCTCATTGTAAATTAATTTCCAACATAATTTTGTTGAAACTTTAATAGAGGTTTTTTTTTTAAAAAAAAAATGGTTAGGAAGACAACAAAGAATTCCAACATTGGACAAGTACGTTTACTTTCCAATATGATCCCTATATGTAAGCTATTCAAAGCCATTTACTTCTTAGAATAACAGAGTTGGAAGGGACCTTGGAGGTCTTCTAGTCCAACCCCCTGCTTAGGCAGGAAACCCTACATCACTTCGGATAAATGGCTATCCAAAATCTTATTTAAAACTTCCAGTGTTGGAGCATTCACAACTTCTGGAGGCAAGTTGTTCCACTGATTAATTGTTCTAACTGTCAGGAAATGTCTCCTTAGTTCTAGGTTGCTTCTCTCCTTGATTAGTTTCCACCCATTGCTTCTTGTCCTACCTTCAGGTGCTTTGGAGAATAGTTCTTGCTTCTTTTAACCCAAGGCAAGGGTTTTAAGAGCAAAGAAGCCGGTTTCTGTTAGNTCCCCATTCCCTCCCCACTCCAGGGGAAGGATACTGCAAAATCCCTATTCCCTCCCCACTCCAGGGGAAGGATACTGCAAAATCCCCATTCCCTCTCCACTCTGGGGGAAGGATATTGCAAAATCTCCATTCCCACCACTCTGGGGCCAGCTAGAGGTGGTATTTGCTGGTTGTCCAAACTACTCAAATTTTCTGCTACTGGTTCTCTAGAACCTGTCAGAACCTGCTGAATTTCACCCCTGCTATAGGCCCTCCGTTTGCAAGCTTCTTCCTTGTCTGTGGAGATTCTCAGTCATCCAGGTCATAGTTTTCCCAAAGGTTCTTCCCCCCCTCCTCAAGAATGCAAATGACCAGCTGTTTGTAAGGAGTGTGGCCTTCAGCTCCCAGAATTCCCCAGCCAAGGGTGAGAAATACTGCTATAGATAGAATTTCTGAGAGTGACCTCAGCTCACCCACTGGAAATCTTAAACTGCTGGAGGAAGAGCCTCTGATCTTTAGATGAGATAAGGCTCACCAACACACATGGATAATGCCAGATCATCTTGAGCTACCAGAGAAATGTTGCAGTTAACCTCACAAGCGGTGTTTCCTTCAACGTCTGAATATATAACTCTTATGTCACAAATTGCATTTGTGCTTAGATTAACCGGTTTCAAAATGCAGATTTTCTGTTCTGAGTGATCCTCCATTAAAAGAAAAACCCCAGTGAAACTAGATATTACTAGAAGGTTTTCTTTAGGCTTGCTTTCTTTGATGCTGATTATCTATATAAAGCCTTTTGGGGGGGGGGGGTAGTAAAGCCAGACACTTGGCCCAAGCCACAGTTCAAAAGTTTCCGGGAGAGGAAGATGTCATTCAGACATTTGCAGGATGCGAAGACAATTTTGGAAAAGCTTACAAGTGTTTTCTGTTATTTTCCTTCCCTCAAAGCCATGGTGTTCCTGCTGTTTGGGGAAATTGGCAGCCATTAAACTATGCTTTAAAAGGGGGTCTGAACTTTTTGCTCCATCATACAGCTTCCTAAATGCTTTTCTCTCCCCCTCCCAGTTTTCAAACTGCACATCTGGGGCAGCAGCTGAGTTTCAACCTGCTAAAGGCGTGAAAGACACATGCCTTGGCATGGATGTAAGAACATTCCTCAACTACTTTATAATCAGCAAATATTATTATAGATTGTTCCCCCAACTCAGAACTTCCCTTATTGCTAACTGCCCACTGTCGATTTCCTCTTTGGTAGATAGACAGCCACAGCCAGCAAAGATAAACCCAGACAACTTAATTTGAAATGGCATACATTTCATGTTAGACTTTGGCAGCTACTTTAACTGAAAGTAATTCTTCCAACTCACAGAGCCTCATTAACAAGATTTATTGAGCTAGGAAAGAGGAGGATTATTGGAATTTCATCAGCTAAATGATTACTTACGCAGAATTTAATCTAACTCTGAAATATTCTTACAGTGGAGATTTACGCCGTTTCTTCTTAATATCTTTTTCGTAAAGTTGTAAGAAAAGTAGTTATCTTTGCATGTAATGGAAACTCTTGCTACTGCTTACTAAGCTGTCTCTAGAACCTTTATCAATCTGTGAATTATCTTGTACAATTTGCAGGTGTTCATTTGCTCATGGTGAGGAAAGTTTTACTGCCTAGCTAAAA